AACACGGACGCCGCCGCCGGACAATCACTCATATGATAAGCTCCGCTTGACAAAGTCGACAGCGGAGCTATAAAGAAACTATCAATTGCAGAATTAAAACCCCATTGTTCTTATTTAATTTGTATATTGTATTTTGAAAGAATTGGCCAGTACAATGCATTACTACAATTGCATATTGTTTTAATTTATTCTTCTTTCTGGTTTTGATTTCACATTCTTTAATTAAGAATTTCCATTTTTCCTTATATAATTCACAATGTAGGATGAAGTGTATTTCATTCTCGACTACTTTTTCATTGCATTTTTCTTTTCTTTTATGAGTGGTTTTCTTCTTCTACCTAATTCAATTTCCAAATTATTGTCACTGATTCTAAACTTTGTCACAATTCTTCTTATGTTGTAGTCTTTCATTTCACTAGTATTTTTCCATTCCAAAGTCTGTTTTGAATAATTGGAATGATAGAAAATCTCAATGTTTTCAGGTTATGTTGTGAAGTACTTAAATTGGGGGAGTCATCACCTACGCATGCGTCAGATGGCCATAGCATGTTGTTGTTTACAAACAAGCGTTCCAAAGCTACCCATGAGCCTTTGCATTTTTAGCATGCGTTTTTAGCGTCGCTTGGTCCTCAATTCCCAAGCATGTGCAGGTGACAATCCCTACGTTTTAAGTATGGCTGTTATAGTTGCTACATCTTCAACACTTCAAAGTGACACAGAAGTGACTTCACATGATGTCTTACTGCACATGTTTTAGTATGTATTAGACAATGTTATTGTCTACAGGCCCCATCATTAAAAAAATTACAATGTTTTTTATATTTGACAGAGTTACGTTTTACATTTTTCCTCATAGAGCCTGTGTATTAACTGCTTAATTTGAGCATACGATTTTCTCAAAAATTATATTGGTGACCCCGTTTGTTATTACTGCTGAATAGATTATATAAGAATAATTTCCCAGAGTACCAAAAATTAGAAAATTCTCAATGAAACTGATTGATCATCATTTTTAAACCAAACTTTTTACCTGAGTTTTTTTAACCTTATGCAAGAGAGTTATTGCTAGAAAATTTATGCCTACAGAGACAGGTGTTTTCTACAACCACCTGATCAATGTGAATTATTGGAGACAGATGGAGTTGCATAAATAATTTTGATCCCTTAAGCAAGTATATTGTGCAATAAATAATTGAATTTGAAACTAAGCGTTTCATGAGTATACTTAATTTGTAATCTTCAGCCAGCAGGTATTTGGTTACCATAGTAACCCCACAAGATGTCATTAAAAATGTATTCCCCCTGTTCTTCAGTATTAATATATTTTATTGCTGTATGTTATGAATTAGATCATGTTTTTAATTATTAGTGATAGAACAGGAAGACCAATTGATATATTTTTCATAAAAGCTTCAGGTTAGACAAAGAGTGACAGTAAATGACCCCATCCATCATTGTTTTCTCTAACTGGGAATATTGTTATATAATATCCTTATCATATATATTAGACTTGTTATCACCTAGGTGTCATGTACATAACCCTGTGGTGATTTATACAATATACTGTAAAGGGGTTAATTATTCACTGGGTTTTAATTTTGCTTATTTCACTGCCTGGAAAATGTGCTAAATTAAAACCCAGTGAATATGTAAAATTTAGCATAGAACACATTATCTAAATGATAAAACCGTGAATTTAAAACCCATCAATATTCTTGAATGTGCTAATGTTGGTGACGTAAAGGAAAATTTGCCTTGCTAATGAGCGAGTCGAGGGCCCCGGACAACTTGGGGTAACTTGGACTCTTTCTTGACGAGAGTTTGCTACTTCTGGCTCTAATTGTTCACCGACCGTTCATTGCTTCCTGCCTCTTCTTCTAACGTTAGTAGTGTTCTCCATGACGTGGAGTAAGGAATAAATATTGTAATAAATTAGAGTAGCACGAACAAATTAGTGTTAACAAGATGGCGAAACAACAAACTAATGACGTCATGTAATTAATTAAGTCACGCGAGTCTCGATGAGATATAACGCGAGAAAAGCGCCATAAATTCAACGTACTACGTACATTAAACATACACAAATGCGGATATAGCTTTTTTGAGAAAAGGGGAAAATTCTATAATTTTTTTCAGTTTTTGTATAATACTGTGTTTTGTTGTACATTACATTATTGCCAAATGTCAAAGTGGTAAGTGATTTTAACTGTAAGAGTCAGAATATTAAAGTAGGAATGTAAGGTTTCTGTCATTCATTATGTTATACAGACCCCATCATTGGGTGAAGCAGAATCAGATACAAATCAGTGCACAATTTGATTATGCGAAAATAGCATACAGTTCAAAAATCAATCATGTGTTCGTCTTCAATAAATCTTTATGACATCTTATTTGTATAAGACCATCCCTGATTATTACCCTAACCCTCCATTAGGCTGCTCTATCCAATCTTATATAGATCTTTTTTATGACTTGTCAAAATAGCAAAGATGTTACAGGGCTATTAAGAGAATACAGCAAAGTATGACCAAAATCAGGATTTGTATTGACCATGCATCTTTTATTATCTTTTGCAAAATATTTTTCTTTTTCATCACTTTGAAACTGCCATGTTTTTTGACCCAAGCATTTCTGGCTCACATACAATATTTTTGGAAAAGTTATCCTTGAATTATAGTTGCATATTAGTTTGTCAATTTTAAGCATTTTCACTTGTTTTTTAAGTATCAAAACTTGGTATATCTCTGGGATATGTCTGGGATATGTCATTTACACGTTTAGGGTTAAATTTTGTGATTATTAATTACCTAATTTGCATTAATTACCAATTTACAGGTCACCTATCATCAAATCTCAATGAAACTTGGTACATAGGTGCTTTTTGCAATCTACAGATCTAAATACTTTGGGGTTGAAATCATTGCATATTAATTACCTACTTTGTATAAATGGGGTCATGTGACCATATTAATATGCATAACTGTAATATGCATAACTGTTGCAATAAGGACTACTGCTATAATGGAGGTATTTGACAAGAGATTGACTAATATATCATATGACCATATATGATTATGTGACCTAATTAATATGCATAACTGCTGCAGATAGTGACATGCAACAAAGGCTAAAATAAAAGCATTTTCCATGAGATATGATTAAAATAACACATGTCCATATATGGTCATGTGACCTAAATAATATGCATAACTAATATCTTAAGTACTGTTGCAGAAAGGGACTTGCAACAAGTGCTATATTTGTCTTGTTGGACATATATGGTCGAAAAATCAAAACTTCATATATGGTCATGTTTGCTTTATATATTTATAATTGTTAAATGATAGCCACTTTGAACTACCCTGATCATTGCTTGCACTTGTATTTCAATCACCGTATTTGCTCTATTAGAAGCAGTTTATTTCTTTGTGAAAAGATATAAAAGCAAAACAAAATTAAAAAAGATCAATTTATGAATCTTTATGATCTAGAGGATCTCCTTCTATGTATTCATGTATTGTATTTGAATTTGTGTTGTCTTTATTTTTACAACACATATTTAGTAAAATTGCTAAAATATGACATAAATAAGGTAAAAAGTACATTGTTTTATTATTGAGTCTGTGAAACCTTAAAGGAAATCACCAAAATGTTGAAATAGTGAGACAGTATAAAAATATATGTTTTCACAGTGTATACATACTTTACCTTAACTTTGACATTAATTTATAAATACTTTCACAGTACATATGTCACTGCTCACCATATAGCCTGGGATTTACCTTAACTTTGACACTATAGTACCATTGTGAAGTTTCTCTATTGAAAAGGACCTGCACTTGTCAACAGAAAGGGCAATTTTATCAAGATACACTGACATATTGATGGATCACCTGACTGTGATGTTTCTTCATGCTATCGTTCATGCTCACATATGAATTGGGAAATTAAGCTTTTATTTCTCCAATCTCTGGTGGCATGTTTCTATGGCATTGGTTTATAAATTAAATTAAGTTATATTAGTGAAAGTTACTTGAGGTTGGAATTACAGACCATGATTTGAACCATACTAAGCTTGAATCTCATGTTTAACTATTTAATATACAAACTTGCACATTAAATGCATAATTTGCATATTTTGGTATGCGATTGTTCCAGAGTATATTGTATATGTTATTATTCTGTAGATAGTTATCAATAGCATAAAACACCATAAGAGTTTATTGGTTTTGGAAATTAGATTCTATTTTAAATATTTTCCACTTTAAATTTCATATTTGACAAACTGAAATGCAAATTAGCTATTTACTGTGCAAAAATTTTAAAAACAGTATTCCTGTTCTTGCATATTAAATAGCTAATATGCATAAAAGGTCATGTGTTCCAAATGGCCATATGGCAGACAGCAGCATAAAACATGCAAATAATTACCTGTGATTTAAAAATTGAAAATATGTTGTTCATTTAGAAAATGTGTGAATAATCCATCAAATATGGATTCAGATCAATACAGCAATAAAATATTGTAGATTAAAAAATGTTGATCTTTTACATGCACAGGATATTACAATTTAAATTCTATCTACTGGTATATTATTGTTTTGTCATGGCTACCAAATAAGAAATTATTGTGGGGGGCTTGTATTTTGTAACATCTCTATTCGTGCAGAGAAAAATCTACACATGAGAAAAGTTGAATTGTCACTATAATCTTTAAACAGATGCAAGATTTTGAATCGTCAATTGAAAATATTCACATTTTGTAACTTTTAGCAAATTTTTAAAAGTTTTGTGGATTTTACTGCAAGTTTGTCATTAAAGTATATCTAAGCATGGCTCCATAAGTTACAAAGTATCAACATTTTGTAACATTGTGCTTGGTGTGCATCCTTCAATCTTAGATCAAAATTCTAAATCGGTAAATCAAGACGATAAATAAACAAAACAAAGTGATTCAATTCTTCCTGAGTTTAATATGATTGATTTGGCCAGGAAGATGCACAATAATAAGTTTATTATAAGGATAATACAAAGTATCTTTGTTGCTGAAATTCCGTGATACTCCCGTTGTTCTCACTTTGTAATATGTAATACATGACTCTTTTTAGAACATAATTAGAACAGGATTTTAGACATTTTTCAATTCAAAATTTGGTTTCTATGGAATCTGACATTAAAACACCATCTTTTGTATATTTAAGTATCATATCTGATATATTTTTTTGTGTGTGTTAATTCTGGTGAAATGAGTCATTGGTATAAAAAAGATTTTTGGATAATAATTTTATGGCAGCTAATATAATTAATATACTAGTATGCTTTGTTGACGTGTGATGGGGTGTCACATTATAAAACTATGTGCACCTGGGGGTTCTACAAGTTTTCATCCCCTAATTAAAATCGTCAAAATAAGATTTGATTAAAAGTTATTTTTAGACTCATATATACTATTACAGTGAATAGAGAGAGGATTCTTCTCAGAAAGCTAAACTTAGTACATTAATGCTTGAAAATCAGAGCAATTTGGCAAACCAACAAGCTAATGATTGGTACTGAGCACAAACAGCAATATTTAACAGTCCATTATTTCCTAGCAACTTACATGAAACACAAATGGCATTATCGGTAAAGTACATTGCATACTAGTAGTAAATTGATTTAGTATGCAATTATGGATTTAGTCCACAATTATCATTGTATAATGATGGGTTTAGGAATATTTCTGCATCATTATGGAGATCTCATCATGTCTCAGCACTGTCTTAAGAGTCTTCACAAAATCTTCTATAGCTGGAGGTTGGATTTTGCTGTAATTTGATTCTCAATAATGTGTTTACGAGTGCCTACTATATATGTCTGAATTAGGTGTACAAAACTGGTATCTTCTTGTAATAAAGTTACTACAAATGCAAAGGTCGGAAAATAAATATTTTTGTATAAAATTCTATATATAAAATAAAACATGTGGTCATTTATTTTTATAATGATATTTCAAGAATAATTGTATTTATTTTGCTTTGAGAATCATATATTCTAATTCATCTATGTATATATTTAATTTCTACAAAACTAATATGGCCTGGAAAAGTGATTTGATTAATTTGTTTTCAATAATACCCCGGTACTTATTTTCCTCTTCAGGAAAGTTGAATTTTTTAATTTGTTAGTAATTTTAAGCATAAAAAGTGTTAACATGCACATGATGACCATAAATATGAATATTCTTTTCTGGCTCTTGCGTTTAACTAAATGCCACTGTAAAGACAAATAATTTCTTACCTTTAAAGTCCACTGTTAGTTCTGCATAGCAAACAGTTTCACCATTTTCATTACTAGCTTCACACATGTACTCGCCATCGTGTTCACCAGTAGCAGAATCTATATGTAGAACACACTGGTCTCCTCGCTGTAATATTTTATATTGTGTGTTTTTGGATGTAATCATATTTCCATTGTGATACCAATTGATGTCGGAGTTACCACAAATTCTACACACCAGCTCCACTTGATCACCTTCACTCACATCTAAGTCAACTAACTGCTGAGTGAAAACAGGTACCGCATTTCCTAGAGACTGCTGTTCAGGTTCTGTGTTGTCGCTTTTACCTGCTTGGATGAAATAAGTATATGACTGAATGCTGATTTTTGATTTATTCTGTTCATATTGTCTGTATTGTGTGTAGGCATTAGAGCGGCGTGGCATGGTTAGCATTAATTTATCGTACAAAAGAACATGTATGTTGTTGAGCACAGATATGTTATAAGGTACCGCACTGTCATTTGCACACGGTGAGCACAAAAAGTGGTACAAGATGTGGACAGGAAAAGCAAGATAATCAGCAAAGTATATAGAAATATGAAAAGATCTGTAATACGTACAGTACCTTCAGGAAGTGAAAAAAGGTTATAAAGTAAAGAAGATAGCTGTAAGGAATATTTAAATAATAGACAAGAAAGCGAAATATATTTTATTCAAGAGTTTGCCATGTAACATATTGATATGAATTGCATATGCATGAGAAAATTAATAATTGAAAACAGTTATTCAGTACATACAGCGTTTGATTTATTAAGAAAGATATTTTAAAGTGAAAAGTCAGAAATATAAGCACAGCACAAAATATAAAAGATATTTAAAAAAGATATTGTTCTTGCATCTTTATTTATGATATCACAAATTTAAGCATAGCACAGAATATATAAAAGATAGCTAAAGAAGATAATTATCTTGCATCTTTATCTATGATATGATAAATTTGAGAATAGCACAGAATATAAAAAATAGCTAAAGAAGATAATTATCTGCATCTTTATCTATATCTTAAATATGAGGATAGCATAGAATATAAAATATAGCTAAAGAAGATAATTATCTGCATCTTTATCTATGATATCATAAATTTGAGAATAGCACAGAATATAAAAGATAGCTAAAGAAGATAATTATCTTGCATCTTTATCTATGATATCATAAATTTGAGAATAGCACAGAATATAAAAAATAGCTAAAGAAGATAATTATCTGCATCTTTATCTATATCTTAAATATGAGGATAGCATAGAATATAAAATATAGCTAAAGAAGATAATTATCTGCATCTTTATCTATGATATCATAAATTTGAGAATAGCACAGAATATAAAAGATAGCTAAAGAAGATAATTATCTTGAATCTTTATCTATGATATCATAAATATGAGAATAGCACAGAATATAAAAGATAGCTAAAGAAGATATTTTTTTCTTGCATCTTTATCTATATCTTAAATATGAGGATAGCATAGAATATAAAATATAGCTAAACAAGATAATTGTCTGGCATTGAAAACAATTTCATATTCTTAAATGATGATTAAATTGGGTTGCCATAATTAAATTGTCACATGAATACTGAGATCCCACTCTCATTGAACTCTCACTTGAACATTTAATGCATAAAAATACATTCAATAATTACATCACAACAATTTATATATTGTTATTGTGTAAATCTTTTCTGTTTAATTGTTATAAATATTTTTTGCTTATTTAATATGCAAAAACAATATTCATTAGCCTGAGAAGTATTTTGTTTTTCATGGAAAATTTGTTCGCTTGGAATTAATTTTCACTATTTTCGCTGAAGAAATGTTTCAGTGAAAATAAAATCCAGCAAATATACCTTTTTCCTACATTTTACATTCAACTCGTCAACAATCAGTGCAAATGAATTCCATACAAAACACCCAAAAATTCTTTTCAGCAAAAATTAATTCCAGCTAAAATAAAGTATTTTACAGTATAACTGAACAGATAACTATGTAGATAGATTAAATGCATATGACTGCACATATCTTATATCCTATATTCAGTATGCAGGTGCATGTACTGTATTTGCTCTATTAGAAGTGCAACTCTAATAGAGGTGCACATAAGCCAAAAAAAGTTAGTTTTCATTTCATTCTATTTATGCTATCTTATTTTAACATGGTATAAAGCAAATATGCTTTTAATATGGTCATTTAAATCATAAACAAAAAACTTAAATGTATATTCTGCAGCAAGAAAACAACATGCATTGAGTTTGTGGTATGTGAAAATAAAAGTACTGTAAAAATGTCATTTTGTGATAGCCAATCACTGAGGTGCCTTAAAGCTACATAAAGAGAGCATACATAGAGCTGGGGTCCTTTGGG